CTGGCCCTGCTCTGGTCTTTCTTCACAAGCCTGCAGTGATATTGTCATTCTTACGATGTGCGTTTTATCTCTGCGGCTCGCATGCCCGTACCATCGCATTCATCTTCCCCACACCTTCTTGGCAATGAAAGCAGCTTTTGTCCTAGCCAATTGTTAGACATGGTCTAGTGACACCTGGTCACGGTGACACCTAATGTCATCGGAGCAGCATCTTTCTCTCCGACATTAGGCTTGTGTTCCTCTTTTCACATACTTAACCGACACTCTTTGTCATGTAGTGTTGTTGGGCAATTTACAGTATGGTACACTTGGGGGTTGCGTTCCGCTGGCATCTGCTTATCGTACACTCCTGTCCATCTCGTTTCCATTCAGACTGCACTTATCCCGATGATAACTCAACCCGAAATCCTCCTTCGGTACAGAAGTTTTTTAGTACTTGAAGAAACTCGTCTAAATAACTCACCGTGACTATATAACTTTCAAAGTTCGACATCCCGCTTCCATATATTTCCTCCTCTTATTATGGACTTTAGTGTTCAGAAAATCTCTACTTGGAAAAGTTTCTATGAAGGCTGTCCTGCGCGGCCTCTCACCACCGAGTGGCGTGATAAAGAATGGAGCGCCAATTCGTTATGTGCGCCGATCCTTCAGAATAGCTTTGACAACATTGTTGCAACTGCACTTGGCCGTTGGCTCCGTGATAGATCACCTTCATTTATGGATATGTCTTCTAATATATCTTCTAAACCGTGTGCTTTCGCAGTGCTATATGATACTATGAGACACCTTGTCAGAGGATTTCTAGGAGCCGCGTTAGTTGTATATTTAGCACAAGCTTCTACTTCAGGTTAATACTTACTGAGAAGAATGCGCAAATATCTGGAATTTAAAAGACCTTTTTGTGCTTACAAGTACTCCATTTTAACATTGAATTAGAAAATCATGATGAAACTTAAAGCGTAAAGAGCTCCAAAGCAGGGAGCTTATTGGATCGCATAAGACGAGGGAGAACAATTAAGAGGGAAATTTGGTGGAGTAATGAAGTCTAAGCAGAAACCAAGGACTGCAACCAATAGCATATGTCTGAGTCACAAAGTGTTCAACAAATTATCTGGTACACGCTGCGAAGAAGTGCGTCAAGAAGGCGAAACGGGCGTACGTAGGAGAGCCAGAAACTGGAATCTCGCTAGAAGAGGAGTACAACAAAAGATGTTGAGAACTTCTGCCAT